TAGGCTGGGGAGGAAGACATGGTCTATTGAGAGAACACAAAACAATCGTTTTCCTCCATACTTAGTATTAGAACCAGAAAACACTGATGGACTCCTACATATAGACTGCAGATTTGCCTATGTGATGCTTTTTAAAGTTAACATTAAAATGGTTAGCTTTTAAAAAGTAATTAAGCTTTCATCAGATAACTATGTCGCTAGTTTAACATGTCAATATAGTATAGAAGATATTTATAACTCATTTGAATCTAAAATACAAGTACAAAATCTTATTCAAAACCTTTGAGGCCAGATGTGTTTCAGAATTCCAATTTTTTTGTTTTGTTTTTAAACAGGTAATAATGTACATATTTGGCATGTCACATAACCAGCTTCCCCCAGTAGTGTCTGTGCAGCACCCTGTAACCAAACAGTCATATGATTTCAACAAAACCTATGACTAGTTATACCACAGGGAGTTAAGTCTTGACCATAAATAGCTTTACAGCAATTTAGGTCAGATTTTTGAGGCCAAATGAGTCTGCCACAAACTTAAGAAAAAACTGTAGGTTGCAGAGCTTTGGGTTTCACAACAGTGTGTAAGAGCTAGTAGACGTGAAGTACCATTCAGGTATACTCTGAACTGCCAAAAATCAGTAAGGTTTTCTGTTTGTAAATAGGGAAATTTTAATTTAACATTACATCATATTTAATGGTTTTATTTTTTAGAATATGTTTTATGTTTTAGCTGCTTTATTAACTAGGTGGTTCTAGCACAGAATGTATTTCAGCCTACTCCATAATACACTGAAAGACAATCAGAGATTTGGAGAAATTTGTGCAAGCCAATCTGCCACCACCCAACAGGGTATCGGGCATACATTCTGTGGCAAGAAAGCCATCATCCGTTATCTGTTAGGAGTACTCTGGGTAAAAGCATTTCCCATTTTATTTTATGCTATATTATTGATCAAGGTCAGTTTTGTTTCCTGCAACAGTATTGGGAGATAGAATCTTATTTCGTATTTCAAGTAGGGCTAAGCCTAATCAGCACTTAGATAGGAGGCTTCTGAGGGGAACATATATGTTTCAGGAAAATGATGGAAGGATTGTATTATGTGGCCAGTCTGCTTCCCTTAGAAGTACTTCCCCCAGCTCTGTATTAGGGTTGGACATTGTGTATTGAATAATGTATAAAGCCCAAGATAATGTCTACTAATTCCCATTTCTGTTTAAAGCATTGGGTTTGCCTTCTATTCAGTCTGATCAGAATAATACTTTTGCTTCATCTACCATAGTTAGCCATGACATCTTCTTCCTTCTACTGGTTAGTATTCCTAGAAAGCTCTGCTAACCCTTTTAGTATCAGTTACAGTTCAATGGTAAATAATGCCAATCATAATACAACCTCTTTTTTAGTAATTTCATGCAATATAGTTAGTGGTATAGCACAGGTGAAAAATAACCCATTACTCAGGATCTTCTTAAGCCATAAAACTTACAGCCATTGAGAAATCAGGGGGGCACAGCTCCTTTGGAGGTTAGCAGAGGATAGCATTATGCCAAAATGGATGTTGCTTAGTTAGCTGTTTGGTTTTCCTTCCTCTTATTAAAAAAAAAAAAATAATAACTTTGCATGGCCTAGAAATTTACACAAGTATAGAGAACCCTTTGCCTTCTATCAGAACCCAGATCCAACGTCTTGTTTTCCTTCTGTAATCCTGACTTATTTTTTTATGCGGCCATTACCACAACTTTGCCAGTATATTGGTGTTATTCAAGTCTCTCTAATTTCTAAATGGTTTTTTCACCCGCCAGAATTTTAAATTTCTTACTGGACTTGTTAAGAACTACTAAGCAGCATTTTTCTTCCATTCTTATCATTTCTCTCCTGAAGCAACATCCTACTGTGTGTCTTGCAAATACATTTATAGTGATTTATCCTAGGCACTACTGTAGTGGGCAGAGTACTGTATATTTAAGTACTTGTATTTTAGGCATGTGTTAATCATCATTTAATATATTATAAAACACATTAAATTTATCTTTTGATTTTTATTGGAATGCCAAAAGTGTTGGTTTTAAATCATTGAACTAATTTGATCATAGAGTTGTTAAATACTCTATAGCCTTAATTGAAATTGAGTACCTAGTGCCATTTATGTATTAAAAGCAAAGAAACTCTTATATGTATTGATAAATGCTAATATAGAGATAGATTTATACTTTCTGCAAAACCAGTGATGGACCTCAGTATGAACTGGTTCAATTCATGAGAAAAATGCCTTCTATGGCATAAAATAAGTCTTAGTGTAGAAAAGTCTTGGCTATATGAACCCTGGGAGTGATTTTTTTTCAGTCCCTTTTTCCTTGATCTTTGAATACAAATTATGGCATTTTTAAAATCTATAAATATTACAAGCAGAAGGATAAAAGTGGTATTTAAAGAACAGTCATCAGCAGCAAAACAGCAACAACCATTTGACAGGAATCCCTAACATTTTGCCCTAGGGAGTTGAGATTAACCCAGTTTGTAAAAAAGCCTTCCGAAACACTTTCCTTGTTTAGAAATTAATGAGACCACTTAAGTTATACCAACCTAATTTTAGAAAGATAAATTATGAATGTTGGATGGAAAACAAAGCAGAAGAATCAGCCAACATTGGCAACATTATAGAAATTAATTTAAATTTGCATCAAACCAGAAACATATTGTTTGTGAATGATGAGGCTTCTGTGTCCTTTTGTACAATTGTAATGAGAAAGAATTATACTTATTTGATTAAGCACTGGCTTTGCTAATTGTGGAACTAGGATTTTAAAAAGTCCTTTTAATGTAACTTTATAGATTTCTGCATTCACATCTGCATATATCCCTTGCATAGTACTCTAACTTTGTAAAAGAAAATCTTTTATCCATTGCTGTAGGCAGTAGGAAATGATCTAAAATGAGTATAGATGTAACTTACACAATGGTAACAAAATCTGATGCCTTAGTATATCATTATTAAAAATATAAAAATACCGTCACCGAGTGTATATTTGTTTCTTATTGCTGCCATGACAAATTACCACAATCTTAGTGACTTAAGACAACACAACTTATTATCTTACCCTTCTAGAGGTCATAACTTTAAAATCAAGGTGCTGGCAGAGCTACAGTTCTTTCTGGAAGCTGTAGGAGCTGCAGTAGGCTGAATGTTTGTGTCCCTCCAAAAATTTATATATGGGACTCCTAATCCCAAAGGTGATGGTATCAGGTAATGGAGACTTTGGGAGGGATTAGGTTAGAAGGAAGAGTCCTCATGAGTGGGATTAGTGCCCTTATAAAAGAGACTAGAGAGTTCCTTGCCCTTTTCTGCATGTGAGGACCTAGTGGCCATCTATGAGCCAGGAAGCAGGTCTTCATCAGATGCCAAACCTACCAGTGCCTTGATCTTGGACTTCCCAACCTCCAGAACTGTGAGAAATAAATGTTTATTGTTTAAACCACCTAGTCTATGGTATTTTTGTTATAGAAGCCTGAATGAACTAGAGTAAAGCCAGTTGATAATCATTTTCTTACTTTTTCCAACTTCTAGCAACAACCTGCATTCATTGGCTCCTGGCCATTGCTAGCAATCCTGTCATCCAACCTTAGCATCAGTCACCACCTTTCTCTCTCCCACTATCCTGCTTCCCTTTCCCATTGGTAAGGGTCTTTATGATTACATTCGGCCCATTCTGATAATCCAGAATAATCTTTCCATCTCAAGAGCCTTAATTTAATCACGTCTGCAAATGCCCTTTTGCCATGTAGATCTGTATTATAAACCTCAGTTACTGGGATGTGCTCAGGTTGTTTGTAGATGTGAGACATGGGGCTTGGCTGTACTCAAATCCAGTAGAGGTAGTGGAACATGATTTCTTTCTTTCTTTCTTTTTTTTTTTTTTTTAACTCATTGATTAGTAATTGTTCTGGGGTTATCACCACAGCAGCAGGACTAAAACATTCCTAGTTTTATGTCTCAGTTGATGACCTTGCCTCCCACTCCACTCTTCTTACCAAGGCTATCTATCATGAACTTTCATTCACCTTAAAACATCCTGGTTCCCCGTTCATGCTTCTATCCTGTTTCCCATGAAGAGCTGAACCCCATCTTTTCAAAAGCTAACTTCTCCGTTTGCAGTCTGAAGCCTGGGACTGGTCGTCTCCTGGATCTACTTTTACAAATATGTGTAAGTCTTCCCTTTCAAAACATACCAACAAACACACAATAACCTTTTCTTCCCATCTTTCCCTTGAAGCTACTCTTTCATCTGGTGAAGCCTTCTTAATTTCTTCTTTATAAATTAAATTTATTGGGGTCACATTGGTTAGTAGGATCGTAGATTTCAGGTGTGGATTTCTATGTTGCAAGATCTATATATTATACTGTGTGTCTACCACCCAAAGTCAAATCATCTTCTGTCACCAATTAATTTCTTTTTAAATTTCTACCTCCCTTTAAATACAGGCATTCTCTGAGTGTCTGTCTTTAGTCCACTTTTTTTTTTTCTTTCTCTTTTCCTGGGAAATCCTACTTATTTCCATGACTTCAACTATTACTGAGCCCTAACCTCTTTCCTGAAGTTCAGCTGCTCCATTCCACCTGTCCCTGAGTGCCACTCTATATAGTCAAAGGCAAACTGAGGGGGCAGTGGGGGGAAAATGGGGGACATCTGTAATACTCTCAACAATAAAGAATAAAATACAAACCCATTATTTTATGTCCTACCCCCCTCCTCCTATTCTTAAAAAACCAAATAGTGAACCAGTCAAATACACTCTCTTTCTTTCCCATGTTGGTTGATTTGTTACCATTTTCCTAGTCATCCAGAAATATATTAGAAATAGTTGTAGGCTAGACAACATGCAGAGTTACTGCAGTCTGAGTCAGAGTAAGGTTAGTTTCAACTATGTAAGCTACCTTGCCCTCAGAACCCATAGCTTGCTTTTAATGCACCTAACCAATCTAATGCATTTTCCTGATTACACGCAGATCTGCAATTAAGGCGCTACGTCCTGGAGGGTTACTTGTGTACTCTACATGCACACTTTCCAAGGCAGAAAATCAGGATGTGATCAGTGAGATTTTAAATTCCTGCAGTAACATCATGCCCATGGACATCAAGGAAATGGCAAGGACTTGCTCCCAAGACTTCACATTTGCTCCCACTGGACAGGAATGTGGACTCCTGGTGATTCCAGAAAAGGGCAAAGCCTGGGGCCCAATGTATGTAGCGAAATTGAAAAAATCATGAGCTGTATGAAATTGGTGATGTGAATTTTGTAAACCATGGCAATGTACTATTATATTTATTTTTCTGGGCTCTCTACGTGTGAACATTTCAGTAATTATGGAGTCGGCTTCCCTAGGTCTGTTTTGGAATCCTGTTAAGTTAATACTCTAGCATCTCAGAGTTTAGGCTTGAGAATTTTCCAGGTGTATATTTTTCCTAGAAATATATCCACAGCAGTGATTTAAGGTGGTGCAGATGGTGTTTGTTCTGTATAATAAATCTGCTGTCTTCTACTTGGCATTTTGTAGTTAAGTTAATCTACATGGTTTTGTGCATAGGATGTGTAGAAATGCGTCCTATCCATGACGTTGGTACTTTGAACCAACTTTAAAAATCCACATTTGCTTGCCCTCTTGTAATTTTTCTCCTTATCAAATACACAAATTCTTTCAGAGTTTTCCCCTCCCTTTTTCTATAAGAACTGATTGGTATTCTGAGACTAACTTCTTAAGCAGCACTATTTCTAGGTCTAGCAAAATAAGTTTCTTATTTGCTAAGTTGTTTTTTGTTAAGGACTGTCTTCTGTTTACTGCAAAGGTCAGTGACTCTATCGACACCAGCTTTACTTCTCCACGCTTTCTGTGTTCACAAATACAAATTGAAAGGCTAAATTATGTTGAAAGGCCATTAGAAGAGCAGGCTCACATGCACACATTTGACTTCCGACATCCAGCTTGTGGAATAATGGGGTCTATCCAGCAGACTATAAAGCAAGTACTTGAAACAAAACCAGAATGATTAATAACTGCAATAACTGAACTATATTTGGAGAGTTTTGTTACATAATTGCAGTTATAATGAGCACTACAGAATCTGATTATCTTACATTTGCAATCTGGAGGGGCTTTTTATTTCACTCCGTTATGAAATGTTATATGAGAGTGTGATGTCACATGTTAATGCACAAGAGGGAGATGCCTAATGAGAGTGGATTATACTGTTACCAAAACCCAATACATTTACTAAGCTGCTCTCCCTGTTTACATATATCTTGGGGATATTGTTCAGATTTCTGTATATGTGCTTAGGGTTTTAGTCTCAGGGTGGATCATGTGTTTTCTTTAGAAATTGCTTCACTTAGAGTCCAAACACATTTTTCAAACTGTTAAGTATGCAGCGCACTTCAAAAGATTGTATCTATTTGTAAATTAGCTTTAAAAATAAATAAATAAACTGACTATATAAATACAAAATTCTGCTGAAGTTGAATCATTTCAAATTGTTTATTCCGTGCACATAAACTAGAGACTATTTGTTCATTAACCTTTTTTGTGTTGCAAGCATATATATATATATAACTGGTTCCTATAACTGGGAAGTCCTAGGAAGAATGCTTGTTCTATACCTTCATTCCATTAACCATTTTTTGTGGGGGAACGCTTGACAAATGTGCATGTCACCCTTGAGCAGGGTCCATGCTAATCTCTGTATGGTTCTGGTTTTAGCATATGTGCTGCCGAAGTGAGCACAACCATTTTTTTCATTATATCTAATCAATGTGTTTAAAGAAAAGCGGGATCTTTTAGACTCAAATATATTAGCTTAATATAGAAGAATAATGATAATGGAAAAGATATTTATTTGTGTGTATGTGTGTGTGCTTATTAATTTGTTTTTTCAATTTGAAATCCTGTCTTTAGATACTATAGGTTCAGTGCATCCATTCTTAGCAGGTTAATCACAAAGTAAATTTTCATGGTGCACATTGTTGAATGTCTTTATTTTCCCAGCACAATGCCATGAAGCCTATTCTGAGTACTGTGTGCCATTGGATTAGACCTTCCTATGATTACTGAAAAAATGCAACTATGTGTATATATGCAGGGTGGGGCAAAAGTAGGTTTATGGTTGTGAGTACACGAAATAGAGTTTATTCTAGTACTATTAATTATTATAACATTTAATTAATTAATAAATATTTATTATATTTGCATATGCACAATTGTAAACCTACTTTTACCCTACCCTGTATATGTATACATAGCTCACTTTATTATTAACAATAATTATAATGAAACAGCTGACATTTTTTGAGCATTAAATATTTGATTAAGTGTGTGTGTATATATATTGTTACCACCTTTTCTGAGTGAGAAAACCCAAGCTCAGCATATTCCTGGCTTGCCAAAGTTGTAGAGGGTGGATCCAATAATAAAACTAGCTCCAAAGGCCAGCCCTTCGTCCTATGCTATGCTGTCTCACAGGATTTAGGCTGTAGGAACCCTCAAGGTCATCAACTGGCTTTACCCTTATTCTACATTGCTCAGTCTTCTAATGCAATTCCCTATTCCCAGTGCATCCAGGTTTAGTCCATATTTGGGGTAAAAAAACATTGAAATATTTCAGGGTGTGTTCTAAAGAAGTACTTCTTGTGATTGTCATACCCGGAAATATCCCAAGGAGGTATTCTGTGCCTTCCTTTTTTTTTTTGCAGATGCTGAACTAAAGAATAGAAATTTGGAGCAGCCTTGCAATGTCAGTTGAAAAGCAAGGAGTAATTGATATTACTTTCTGTGGCATTGAGTTACTTTCAAAATAGCTTTATAAAAATTTAGGTTGCTTACCAACACATTAACTTCTCTCTGCCATCAGCACACTGAGCAGCCACTAGTTTCAGAAATAGACTATGAATAAATGTAATGCATTTAAATGGTGTGTGCTGAATTTTTAAAGCATCAGATATTATCTGTGGTTTGGAATCAAGGCAGTCTACAGTCCTTTATCCAATTACATATATCCATATAGCCTTATGCTCAAAATTGCATGTTACTCCCTTAGCAGTATTGTGAAAAATAACCTTTTATAGGATGTGAGTATCAAATAATAGAGAACAGACTTCATGCTACATGACTAAATAAAATAATCAAAAATCTAATAGGCCCTTATCCAACTAGGCTGTGTCTTGGGAGATAAGCATCAGATAATCTGCATAGGCTAATGCAACTCACCTGGAATACAAAGAGGAAATTGGAACCAATGGCAACAGTTTTATTAAATACTGGGAAGTCCTTTGATGCAATTGAATGGGCTACTTGTATTATGTGCTAGGTAAATTTGGCTTTGGGGACAAATATAACAGCACAATTTCTTTTCAACCCATTTATATGGTTCAGATCAATGGTTTATAGTCTCCCTTTTCCTTGCCTTATTGCTGCATTGTGGAGGGAAGAAAGGATGATGCCCATTACTGGTGCTACTCCTCAGGCTGACATTGGAGCTGTAATATCACCCAGGCCCCATGGGTATCTGAAGGATATTCAGATGAAGGTTCGTAAGTTACCTAATATCTGCTGATAATCTACTACTTGTTCTGAAAGCCCTAAGAGCATCTGTCTTGAAAACATTAAAAGTAATGTCATGATTTGAAATGGCTTCAGGCTGCAAAGTCACTGGAAGTGAATCAGAAATACTATTTTTACAAATGAATGTTTTCATATTTTTGGGTAAATATCCAGAAGAGGAATTGCTAGATCATAAGGAAGTTATATTTTTTAATTTTTTAAGGAACCTCCACACTGTTTTCCATAGTGGCTATACCAATTTACATTTCTTACACCTGAAATATATATAATGTTATTAACTAATGTTACCTTAATAAATTTAATTTAAAAAAAGAAATGCTATCTTGATTGAATAGTTTCTATTAATAATACTTATTGTGTGACATTTAAAATGAAAAATAATTGACTTGGCATTCTCATTAGGGGATGCTTAAACAATAGAGTAAAAAAAAATTAAAAATTGACCTGTAATTAGTGCTAAGATTTTTAAGAAATAGATTTCACTAAATCTAGAGAGAAGAAAGCCCAGTAGAGTGTATACATCTTTAAAAATTAATTAGCTCAATCAGATATTAACTCTATACCTTTCTGTAACTTTTCACAAATGAAGGAAGTAATTTCCTCAGTCATGTGAGACCATATAGTCTTGTTGAAATTGTGCGAAAGCATATGCTACCTTAGGAAAAGGACCATTTGCCTCACTGGAAACTATTTGATGGAATACGTCATGACTCAATTAAGCTTGCTATGGCTTGTCAAAAGGAATTTTCTGCTGCATATTGCTGTGGAAGAGCCCATTACACACAAATAACTATACAACCTAGCAGAATCAACAGAGACTAGAAACGTATAGCCTATTGAAAAATAAGAAACAGGACTATAGCACCCAGATATGCCCTAGTTCTTAAAAATAAGTAGGAGTAAAATTGCATATATTAACAAGAATGAACAAAGTTAAGAGGGATTAGCATTGGTGACAGGAGAAAAGAGGGACTGGGCTTATTTCATCCTATAGTTATTAAGTTATAGAGAGATTCCTCATTTACTCACCTAAACAAGGTGCTAAAAACCTTTCCAAAATGGTAAACCTTTCTCTCCTTCTCATGTCACAATAATCACTGGCATGAGGGGTGGAGGAATGAGAGGACCAAAGAACTGTGCTGACTAATGAATTGTTAGTAGGGAAGGATTACTGTCAGTTGTAGCTCAGAGCTGCCAACTCTTAAGAAAAGGAAAATGGGGACATGGTAGTGGCAACTAACATGATGCTACTGGAAACTTTTGTGTGATGTGTGATATTTTTAGCCATGAACAGCCAACATAACTAGGTATACCACATTTCCACATTGATAGACATCCCTCTTGACTTGATCATTAAAAAAAATTATGTGTAAGTCTCAGATTATAATAAATGTATTTAACAAATTCAGCGGACATACACAAACTACTCTTCAATAAAAAAGATTGCTTTTTTTCATATATTCTAGTACAGATAATCTCTGTTAAATTTTCCATATGCCCATAGATGCATTGTTTTTAGCTATCTAGTTAACCTGACCACATAGAATTAACTCAGTATGTTTCTTTTCCATCCCAGTATTGAGTTGGCTGAAGCACTTGATACAATTTTAGAAGAGGTAATTTTTGAACCAAGAGAATGATTCTGAAGAGGTTTAAATGGGATCTGGAACTTCAACATCACTCCGGAGTAGGGTCTGGAATGAGTCAATCAAACATGTTTCAGAAGTGAAGGACACTATGATAGACCTGAAGGGTTTAGGATACACAGGAAGCACATTACAACTCCCAACAAAGTTTATGTGTTCATCTGTCTGGTCACATCCCCCATATTCACTGAGGATGTTAGTGTCTAGCTCATGTCTTCTCCATTTCAACTCCTGCCACAGGCTGAATTGAACATTTCTTTAGAAAATGTTCCCATATCCTACCTTCCTGATTCCTTTACTGCCTCTCCCTTAGTGGCTTTTATCTCCATTGTCTTCTGCAACTCACACACCTAGGCATTCTCTAGAACTTGACATTATCTAGAGCCACACTCTCCAATTGACT